TTGTTTGCTTGCTTGCTTGTTTTTGTTTTTTTTTTTGGTTTGCTTGCTTGTTTGTTTGTTTGCCTGCTTGCTTGCTTGCTTGTTTGGTTGTTTGTTTGTTTGCTTGCTTGCTTGCTTGCTTGTTTGGTTGTTTGTTTGTTTGTTTGTTCGTTTGCTTGCTTGTTTGTTTGTTTGTTTGCGTGTTTGTTTGTTTGCTTGCTTGTTTGCTTGCTCGTTTGGTTGTTTGTTTGCTTGCTTGCTTGTTTGGTTGTTTGTTTGCTTGCTTGCTTGTTTGGTTGTTTGTTTGTTTGCTTGCTTGCTTGTTTGGTTGTTTGTTTGTTTGCTTGTTTGTTTGCTTGCTTGTTTGTTTGCTTTTTTGTTTGTTTGCTTGCTCGCTTGCTCTGTGGTTGTTTGTTTGTTTGTTTGCTTGCTCGTTTTTGTTGTTTGTTTGTTTGCTTGCTTGCTTGCTTGTTTGTTTGCTTGCTTGTTTGGTTGCTTGCTTGCTTGCTCGTTTGGTTGTTTGTTTGTTTGTTTGTTTGTTTGTTTGCTTGCTTGCTTGCTTGCTTGCTTGTTTGTTTGCGTGTTTGTTTGTTTGCTTGTTTGTTTGCTTGCTTGTTTGGTTGTTTGTTTGCTTGCTTGCTTGTTTGGTTGTTTGTTTGTTTGCTTGGTTGCTTGTTAGGTTGTTTGTTTGTTTGATTGTTTGCTTGCTTGCTTGTTTGGTTGTTTGTTTGTTTGTTTGCTTGCTTGCTTGTTTGGTTGTTTGTTTGCTTGCTTGCTTGTTTGGTTGTTTGTTTGTTTGTTTGCTTGCTTGCTTGTTTGGTTGTTTGTTTGTTTGCTTGCTTGCTTGTTTGGTTGTTTGTTTGTTTGTTTGCTTGCTTGCTTGGTTGTTTGTTTGCTTGCTTGCTTGTTTGGTTGTTTGTTTGTTTGGTTGCTTGCTTGTTTGGTTGTTTGTTTGTTTGTTTGTTTGTTTGTTTGCATGCTTGCTTGCTTGTTTGTTTGCTTGCTTGCTTGTTTGGTTGTTTGTTTGTTTGTTTGCTTGCTTGCTTGCTCGTTTGGTTGTTTGTTTGTTTGCCTGCTTGCTTGCTCTTTTGCTTGCTTGCTTGTTTGGTTGTTTGTTTGCTTGCTTGTTTGTTTTTTTGCTTGCTTGCTTGCTCGTTTGGTTGTTTGTTTGTTTGTTTGTTTGCTTGCTTGCTTGCTCATTTGGTTGTTTGATTGTTTGCTTGCTTGTTTGTTTGCTTGTTTGTTTGTTTGCTTGCTCGTTTGGTTGTTTGTTTGTCTGCTTGCTTGCTTGCTTGTTTGTTTGCTTGTTTGTTTGTTTGCTTGCTTGCTTGCTCGTTTGGTTGTTTGTTTGTTTGTTTGCTTGCTTGCTTGCTTGTTTGTTTGCTTGTTTGTGTGTTTGTTTGCTTGCTTGCTCGTTTGGTTGTTGGTTTGTTTGTTTGCTTGCTTGCTTGTTTGTTTGTTTGTTTGCTTGCTTGCTTGCTCGTTTGGTTGTTTGTTTGCTTGTTTGCTTGCTTGTTTGTTTGCTTGTTTGTTTGTTTTTTTTTTTTTTTTATTTGCTTGCTTGTTTGTTTGCGTGTTTGTTTGTTTGCTTGTTTGTTTGCTTGCTTGCTTGCTCGTTTGGTTGTTTGTTTGTTTGTTTGCTTGCTTGCTTGTTTGCTTGTTTGTTTGTTTGCTTGCTTGCTGGCTCGTTTGTTTGTTTGTTTGTTTGCTTGCTTGTTTGTTTGTTTGTTTGCTTGCTTGCTTGCCTGTTTGGTTGTTTGCTTGTTTGTTTGTTTGCTTGCTTGCTTGCTTGCTCGTTTGCTTGTTTGTTTGTTTGTTTGTTTGTTTGCTTGCTTGTTTGTTTGCCTGCTTGCTTGCTTGCTTGCTTGTTTGTTTGTTTGTTTGTTTGTTTGTTTGGTTTGATTGTTTGTTTGTTTGTTTGTTTGTTTGTTTCGTCAGTCAATGTGAGCCATTGAGTGGGTTTAGATTTCCTAGAGTGGATGGCGGAAAATGTCTTTTGCCCATTTGGAGAAGCACGCAGGGCTCCCTCAACAGGACACCTTTCCTCAAAGGTCCATGCAAGTCGTACCCATGCTCTCGCTTCGAGTGCGCCCACCACTCGCTGTGGACGAAGCAGGACGCGCAAATATGGGTATGTGTTTAAATAGGAGGGCCCCACCATGGTGCTTTTTCTTTCGGCAACTTTACAAGGGCTCCCTCCCAAAAAGGACTCACCTGTATGTGGGAAGCGGCTACCAGACCGGGTCTTTTCCGCATCAGGCAGACCACAAATTGCTGGACAGGTTTTGCGCGGAGACGCGAAGGAGACGGGGATGCAATCAACAGCCTAAGTGAGTTCGGTGTGTTTTCCTTAAACCCACGTAGGCATGCTCGGAGTCAGTCAGTTGTTTGCACTGTGTATAGCACGCTCATAAGTTAACTTCACTGAAATGGGGCGCCTTGAAAGCGGGTGAAAGGGCGGAGCGCCCGGGGTTTTCAATTTTGCAGATCGGACGTAGGACCATACCTCATGGCACTTATCGAGCGAATGCCACCGACAAATATTGCAAAGGGAACATGGACACCTTCCAAGTTACCGCAATTCATCGTGGTTTTGTTGGTTGAATATGCTTGAGGCGTCATCTTTGCCCAAGAAGCTCGTCATGAAGAAGAGCCACAGCTGTAAAACGGAATATCAACAGCTCAAGACCCAAACTCATCAAAGACTTCTATTTCGGGCATCCGGTCTCCGAGGTGCCTTCCGGGCCCACGGTGCATGTGCCGAACTCGGTGCCGGGAGTCCCAGAGCCAGAAGAGCGCGCGGGCAATTTGCATTGGGCTCCCCCAAAATGGGGGAACTACAAATGGGTTTGTCGATTTTTACGGGACCCCCCCAACAGGGGGAAAATCATAATAAGTAAATAACAAATACAACGACGTGGTGGTTTACCTCTTAAGACCAACCCAAACAAGGGGGTACCCTGGGTGCATGTCTGGTGGTCGTGTTGAGGGGTGGATGGTGGTGACATTTTGCACCACCTAAGAAACATGGAATGATTCAATTCCCCTGCAAAAACCAACCAGCAATGGTTTCAACCATGGGTTCAAAGTGGTCCCAAATGGATTGTGCAACCTTGTACACAATGGATGGTTTGGAACGTGAAGAAGGGCACACGGCAGGGAACGAACAGAAGAGTCAAAGTTGCGCAACAGCTCTGGCAGGTCGCATGGGAAAGCACATCAAAGGGTGTCGCATGCTTTGTGCAAGAAAATCTCCGACAAGCAAACCTGCCAGTCAGCCGCAAGAACCCTGAGAATCCAGGAGGCTCCAGAAAATGACGACAAGCGCTGGGATGGAACCGAATCAAAAACCAAGGCCTCACCAGCAGAAAACAACCTGGTGGCTCTTCTCCCAACAAGAGCCACGCCCCTGGAAAGACGATCCTTCACAGTTGTGGAATTTAGGTTGGAGCCATCAGTGTTTGTGACACCCTTCGCGAATCCCCTTTAAGATGATAAAGTAGTCATGGGCGTAACAGAGTTTGGTCTCGATTGGTCATTGATCATTTCCCATCAGTGCAGGCAGCAAGTTAGGCGAATCTGGCTGCACTTCTCGATGCTGGAAAACCGTTTCAGGCTCCGCGCGGCACCGCAGGCAGTTGGGGGCCTCACGGGGCCTTGGGGGCTTGGGGCCTTGCAGAAAGAGGAAGTCGTCTCCCAGAAGAGCTACAATCAACACCCGTGCAATTGGAGGGTAGTAGAGGACAGACTCAACCAAATTTGGGGTGTACTATCCGCCCTTTTATGTCTTTGTATGAACATGGGCGGATTTCAACAAGGCCCTGCTTGGATTGTGACTCTACTGTGCTTCTTTGTTGTTTGAATCTTCGCTGCAGGTGGTTTTTCCTCTGCGCGGTATGTGTTTATTCATTTTTTTTCTTGTTGCGTTCTATGACCAGCTTTTCCGCGATGCCAAGGTGTCCATCACCTGGGGCTTTGCGGGGTTGTTTAGACTAGGCGATCGCGACTGCGTTCACGGTCAAGCATAAACTCAGTTGGGCATGTGGGTGTACCTCAAAATGGGGCGGCCCCTTCAGGTGGTTGGTTTCCTTCTGGTTTGCGCTGAAACCATACGGAACCTTCGAATTGTTTGGTGTAATGTTGAATACCCGGCACCATGCTGGCAAAGTTTCGCGTGTTGACAGACACACACAGACATATATGTATATATAGATACATATACACATAATACCCTTTTTGCTTTTACTTGTAAGGCTAGGGTCTTATTCGAATCCATGTTGCTTTCCAAATTCTTCTGGCCGAACAGGCCCCGCCGAAGCTCTGGGCGTGGGACATAGGGGGCCACTTTCCGTGAGTCCAAGGGAATCCGCTAAGAAATGATTCATTTATTTGTTCCCTTTTTTTATTTTGTAAAATCCGTTTATGCATCCATTCATTCATTTATCCAAGTATTCATTTATCCACATTCCTTTTATTTCATTAATTTATCTTTTTTTTGTATTCATTTATCCATTTATTAATTTTCTTTCATTCGTTTCTCCATTTGTTTGTTTTATTTACTTATTTATTTGTTTCATTGTTTATCCATTTATTCATGTATTCAGTTGTTTGCACGCTCATGTATTTCCTTTTTGTGCATTTATCCATGTATTGACTTAGCCGTTTAGTGTTTCATTCATTCTTGTTTGCATTTATTTTTCCATTTGGTTCTATATTTATTTATTTACTTGTTTGCTGGTTTCTTTTGTATTCTTTGTTTTTGTATTTATGGTTTTATAATCCAATGAGCAAGGCCTGCATCATCACAGGTCTGCCTTGGGAGCAGGGGTTTCGCTGAGTTTGTTCGGGAGCAACCAGCACTAAGCCCTATACCAACCCTAGACCCACCCAAAACCAACCCTAAATGGGTGAGTCTTTTCTTTAAATGATCCCCTTGGTGGGTTTTAAGGGGAACCAAAGGATTATCAACACAAAACCAGCACTAAACCATGCCTAAACCATATCCTACTCATTTAAGAAATGAAGATTCCAGGTCCCATTGGCCATCGGCATCCCCCCCAAGGTTATGCACAAAACCAGTGGCAGTGTTTCCGCACTTTGTGATTATGCCTTGATTAAAATATCAGACTCGTTGGACGGGTCCCAAAGCTCGCAACCAGTTTCAGTTCGTAAAGGAAGCCAAGGGCAAGGCACATTTTTTCGCATTCCTCAAACTCCCACAAGGTCACCCCACGTCCGAACGCCAGGAAACCCGGGCGCCGGTTCCGGCGGAGAATGCGAGGCGCTCCTGAAAAGAGTGCTGGTCGCGCTCACTGAAAGTTGACTTTTGACTGACTGAATAAACTCGTCCTCCATCAGGGGGCCTTCCTTGCAACACGCAGTCCTCACTAAGGATGCCATCCCCGACGAAGATAGTAGTGAACTATCAATCAAGGGTCGCAAGTCTGCAAAGGGAGCTGCGCTCAGTGAAGTGACCAAAATTCCACTTCTTTTCTGAGGCAGCCATTGATGCTTGAGTGTGTTTTGTTGAAGGATTGGCAGAGGTAGACGGAGGTGGAGAGAGCACGAGGAAGCATCTGTGCTGGCTAGATATGCAGCTAGTTGCAAGGATGAGAGAAAGATAAATTCAGCGGGCTGAGTGAAAGTGACGAGACACATCTCCGCTTACTTGCTGAGGCAGACATTGATGCTTGAGTGTGTTTTGTTGAAGGATCGGCAGAGGTAGACGGAGGTGGAGAGAGCACGAGGAAGCATCTGTGCTGGCTAGATATGCAGCTACTTGCAAGGATGAGAGAAAGATAAATTCAGCGGGCTGAGTGAAAGTGACGAGACACATCTCCGCTTACTTTCTGAGGCAGATTGATGCTTGAGTGTGTTTTGTTGAAGGATTGGCAGAGGCAGACGGAGGTGGACAGAGCACGAGGAAGCATTTGCGCTGGCTAGATATGCAGGTAGTTGCAAGGATGAGAGAAAGATAAATTCAGCGGGCTGAGTGAAAGTGACGAGAAACATCTCCGCTTACTTTCTGAGGCAGACATTGATGCTTGAGTGTGTTTTGTTGAAGGATTGGCAGAGGTAGACGGAGGTGGAGAGAGCACGAGGAAGCATCTGTGCTGGCTAGATATGCAGCTAGTTGCAAGGATGAGAGAAAGATAAATTCAGCGGGCTGAGTGAAAGTGACGGAACACATCTCCGCTTACTTTTTGAGGCAGCCATTGATGCTTGAGTTGTATTGTTGAATGTGGGAGATATTGACGGAGGTGGAGCAAGCTTGAGGAAGCACTTGTGCTGGCTAGGTGTGCAGGTAGTTACAAGGATGAGAGAAAGATAAATTCAGCGGGCTGAGTGACAGTGACGAGACACATCTTCGCTTACTTTCTGAGGCAGACATTGATGCTTGAGTGTGTTTTGTTGAAGGATCGGCAGAGGTAGACGGAGGTGGAGAGAGCACGAGGAAGCATTTGCGCTGGCTAGATGCAGGTAGTTGCAAGGATGAGAGAAAGATAAATTCAGCGGGCTGAGTGAAAGTGACGAGACACATCTCCGCTTACTTTCTGAGGCAGCCATTGATGCTTGAGTGTGTTTTGTTGAAGGATTGGAAGAGGTAGACGGAGGTGGAGAGAGCACGAGGAAGCACTTGTGCTGGCTAGATATGCAGGTAGTTGCAAGGATGAGAGAAAGATAAATTCAGCGGGCTGAGTGAAAGTGACGAGACACATCTCCGCTTACTTTCTGAGGCAGACATTGATGCTTGAGTGTGTCTTGTTGAAGGATTGGCAGAGGTAGACGGAGGTGAGAGAGCACGAGGAAGCACTTGTGCTGGCTAGATATGCAGGTAGTTGCAAGGATGAGAGAAAGATAAATTCAGCGGGCTGAGTGAAAGTGACGAGACACATCTCCGCTTACTTTTTGAGGCAGCCATTGATGCTTGAGTTGTATTGTTGAATGTGGGAGATATTGACGGAGGTGGAGCAAGCTTGAGGAAGCACTTGTGCTGGCTAGGTGTGCAGGTAGTTGCAAGGATGAGAGAAAGATAAATTCAGCGGGCTGAGTGAAAGTGACGAGACACATCTCCGCTTACTTTCTGAGGCAGACATTGGTGCTTGAGTGTGTTTTGTTGAAGGATTGGCAGAGGTAGACAGAGGTGGAGAGAGCACGAGGAAGCATTTGTGCTGGCTAGATATGCAGGTAGTGGCAAGGATGAGAGAAAGATAAATTCAGCGGGCTGAGTGAAAGTGACGAGACACATCTCCGCTTACTTTCTGAGGCAGACATTGATGCTTGAGTGTGTTTTGTTGAAGGATCGGCAGAGGTAGACGGAGGTGGAGAGAGCACGAGGAAGCATCTGTGCTGGCTAGATATGCAGGTAGTTGCAAGGATGAGAGGAAGATAAATTCAGCGGGCTGAGTGAAAGTGACGAGACACATCTCCGCTTACTTTCTGAGGCAGACATTGATGCTTGAGTGTGTTTTGTTGAAGGATCGGGAGAGGTAGACGGAGGTGGAGAGAGCACGAGGAAGCATCTGTGCTGGCTAGATATGCAGGTAGTTGCAAGGATGAGAGGAAGATAAATTCAGCGGGCTGAGTGAAAGTGACGAGACACATCTCCGCTTACTTTCTGAGGCAGACATTGATGCTTGAGTGTGTTTTGTTGAAGGATTGGCAGAGGTAGACGGAGGTGGAGAGAGCACGAGGAAGCATTTGTGCTGGCTAGATATGCAGGTAGTTGCAAGGATGAGAGAAAGATAAATTCAGCGGGCTGAGTGAAAGTGACGAGACACATCTCCGCTTACTTTCTGAGGCAGACATTGATGCTTGAGTGTGTTTTGTTGAAGGATTGGCAGAGGTAGACGGAGGTGGAGAGAGCACGAGGAAGCATGTGTGCTGGCTAGATACGCAGATAGTTGCAAGGATGAGAGAAAGATAAATTCAGCGGGCTGAGCGAAAGTCAGGCAAACTGATGCTCAACTTGTGTGTTGTTCAATGTGGGAGATATTGACGGAGGTGGAGCAAGGTTGAGCAAGCACTTGTGCTGGCTAGGTGTGCAGGTAGTTGCAAGGATGAGAGAAAGACAAATTCAGCGGGCTGAGTGAAAGTGACGAGACACATCTCCGCTTACTTTCTGAGGCAGACATTGGTGCTTGAGTGTGTTTTGTTGAAGGATCGGCAGAGGTAGACGGAGGTGGAGAGAGCACTAGGAAGCATTTGTGCTGGCTAGATATGCAGGTAGTTGCAAAGATGAGAGAAAGATAAATTCAGAAGGCTGAGTGAAAGTGACGAGACACATCTCCGCTTACTTTCTGAGGCAGACATTGATGCTTGAGTGTGTTTTGTTGAAGGATTGGCAGAGGTAGACGGAGGTGGAGAGAGCACGAGGAAGCATCTGTGCTGGCTAGATATGCAGGTAGCAAGGATCAGCGGGCTGAGTGAAAGTGACGAGACACATCTCCGCTTACTTTCTGAGGCAGACATTGGTGCTTGAGTGTGTTTTGCAGAGGTAGACGGAGGTGGAGAGAGCACTGCATTTGTGCTGGCTAGATATGCAGGTAGTTGCAAGGATGAGAGAAAGATAAATTCAGCGGGCTGAGTGAAAGTGACGAGACACATCTCCGCTTACTTTCTGAGGCAGACATTGATGCTTGAGTGTGTTTTGTTGAAGGATTGGCAGAGGTAGACGGAGGTGGAGAGAGCACGAGGAAGCATCTGTGCTGGCTAGATATGCAGGTAGTTGCAAGGATGAGAGAAAGATAAATTCAGCGGGCTGAGTGAAAGTGACGAGACACATCTCCGCTTACTTTCTGAGGCAGACATTGATGCTTGAGTGTGTTTTGTTGAAGAATTCGCAGAGGTAGACGGAGGTGGAGAGAGCACGAGGAGGCATTTGTGCTGGCTAGATATGCAGGTAGTTGCAAGGATGAGAGAAAGATAAATTCAGCGGGCTGAGTGAAAGTGACGAGACACATCTCCGCTTACTTTCTGAGGCAGACATTGATGCTTGAGTGTGTTTTGTTGAAGGATTGGCAGAGGTAGACGGAGGTGGAGAGAGCACGAGGAAGCATTTGTGCTGGCTAGATATGCAGGAAGTTGCAAGGATGAGAGAAAGATAAATTCAGCGGGCTGAGTGAAAGTGACGAGACACATCTCCGATTACTTTCTGAGGCAGACATTGATGCTTGAGTGTGTTTTGTTGAAGGATTGGCAGAGGTAGACGGAGGTGGAGAGAGCACGAGGAAGCATTTGTGCTGGCTAGATATGCAGGAAGTTGCAAGGATGAGAGAAAGATAAATTCAGCGGGCTGAGTGAAAGTGACGAGACACATCTCCGATTACTTTCTGAGGCAGACATTGATGCTTGAGTGTGTTTTGTTGAAGGATTGGCAGAGGTAGACGGAGGTGGAGAGAGCACGAGGAAGCATTTGTGCTGGCTAGATATGCAGGTAGTTGCAAGGATGAGAGAAAGATAAATTCAGCGGGCTGAGTGAAAGTGACGAGACACATCTCCGCTTACTTTCTGAGGCAGACATTGATGCTTGAGTGTGTTTTGTTGAAGGATTGGCAGAGGTAGACGGAGGTGGAGAGAGCACGAGGAAGCATTTGTGCTGGCTAGATATGCAGGTAGTTGCAAGGATGAGAGAAAGATAAATTCAGCGGGCTGAGTGAAAGTGACGAGACACATCTCCGCTTACTTTCTGAGGCAGACATTGATGCTTGAGTGTGTTTTGTTGAAGGATTGGCAGAGGTAGACGGAGGTGGAGAGAGCAGGAGGAAGCATTTGTGCTGGCTAGATATGCAGGTAGTTGCAAGGATGAGAGAAAGATAAATTCAGCGGGCTGAGTGAAAGTGACGAGACACATCTCCGCTTACTTTCTGAGGCAGACATTGATGCTTGAGTGTGTTTTGTTGAAGGATTGGCAGAGGTAGACGGAGGTGGAGAGAGCACGAGGAAGCATTTGTGCTGGCTAGATATGCAGGTAGTTGCAAAGATGAGAGAAAGATAAATTCAGCGGGCTGAGTGAAAGTGACGAGACACATCTCTGCTTCTTTTCCGAGGCAGGCATTGATGCTTGAGATTGGTTTGTTGAATGCTTAGCAGAGGTTAACGGAGGTGGAGCGAGCATGAGGAAAGCAATTTGCGCTGGCTAGGCATGCAGGTAGTTGCCAGGATGAGTTGGCTGTTGCGAGGGTCTTGGCTTTATGCGTCTCTCCGGGGCTTGGCTGCACCGTAGGGCTATGACATGAACATGAGGTTGCCAACAGCTGCATAAGGTTTGGGATTGGACTAAAACTTAGTGGAAGGGTTCTAACTGATAGCACTTGTGCCACCCAGTTTTTCTGGCACCCGCCTTTTGGCATTTGCCAGGCCTGCAATGACGCCCCGCGCGCGCAAGGCCCGGTGCTGGGTGCGACGCACGACATGGGTGGGTGCCAACATGCTCCCCAGTCAGGATGAGAGTGTTTGCTTCTTTTTGCTCTTGATTTGAGGCGTTCCACGAGGAAACTCCTTCTGTGGAGGGGGGGGGTCCCCCCATTCTGCAGTTAAACCGTGTGTTGTTCTATGGCTTCCATACAATTTCAGTGGGCTGCAACAAGGCACACACCCTCCACCACCTCCCCCCCCCCCTCTCGGCGGCTGGAGGCCACGCAAGGTTTGGGATATCTTGGACGTCCAGTCCCCGTCTGAAAACTTGGAAGGTTTCGTTTCCGACCCGTGCAAGGTTCCGAGTATCCCGTTTGACCTGGGGAGTTCAGAGGGATCGACAGGTCTCGGCATGGGTTCCCCTCCGGACTGCGACAGAGGGGATGTTTTCTGGGCTGGGCGTTTTGGGGGGTCGTTGTAGGTGGGGTTTTGCCCAGCAACCTGTTCTCTTGCTCGGCTTTGGAAAATTCATGTTTCCTGCCACCAACCTGTGAAACAATGTACTCAGGGGTTAGTCAGACTCGGGCTCAACATGCTTCTGGCCTCAATTGTTTTGTTTGTATGGACAGGTATCTGGTTGAACCCGTCCATCGGATCATTGGGAGGATTTGAGGTCACGGTGAGAGTCTATGTCCATCTTTCACACCCGAGGACCCTTGAGGCCCCGAATCCCACTCACCCCCTTTGCTTTTGGTATTCTTTTAGCCTTTATTTGGCCTGGAAAGTGGTGCAGAAGTCTTGTCCGGACCCAACTGGCCGCTTGCAGCTCTCGAGTCGGCATAAGGACAAAGCCGCAACCCTTCTCAGCTTGAGAAGGGAAACCAACTAAAACCCAACATTTTCAAAGGCTCCCGATTTTGGGAAGCATCCATGTTGCATCTCACTTGCCCTACGGCGAATCGACCTTTTAAGGCTTTAGTTCCCCCTTGTCGTCCATGTTCAGTCATGGTCCCCAACAGGTCAACCGCTTTGTTGAGGGCCAGACTGGGCAAACTGGAGGCATTCCAGGGGTTGATTTTCCCCGTCGCCTGCTCTCATCTGCCAGAGTGCGAGTCCACCACGGGAGGAAGGCACCTGGGTCGGCGCTTTGAGCGGCGTTTTCCGTGGCGCGGGGGAAGTTTGACCAGACACCTGACATGGTTTCGCAAAGTTCTGCGGTTTAAGGGCCCAAATATTTCGACCTTTTAGTTTTAGGTCCTTTCAGGAAATGAGAGGCAACCAAAAGTTGCCGAGGATCCTTTCCCACCAGCCATGCTTGATCCAGCCGAAGCCCGATGGGAAACGGGCGCCTCTGTTCCGGGGGCAAAAACGCAACGAAAGGAGCCCTTGCCTCCGCGTGTGTTTCCTTGCTTAAAGCGGAGTGGTTAGTAAGCCTGGCTTCAGCCACTTGGGAGACTTGTAGCCATGGCTATTGCGGGTTTGAGCCAGTACACTGCCCGAATCTAAAGGGTCGAACCCGAAGGTAAAAGAATCAACCCTGAAGGGTTAGTAAAGGACAAACCCGAAGGGTACAGGATCAAGCCCGAAGGGCAAAGTCAACTGGTTTCTTTACTCTTGGCATCTCCTCCCCCAATCTTCTATCCGTATCGGGTCTTCAGAACAACCAAAGTTGTTGGACCCTTCAGCTTTCGGCTTCGGAGAGATTCTAGCAACAAGTAAGCGACCTGTCGAAGAATCGGTGAGGTTTCCTGGCAACTTGGTTTCCCTGGTCCTGGTGGTTTCTTGTGGCATGCAGTAGATTCGCAGGTTCTGGTGCTTTCTCTAGGAGTGAGTGGTCTGCCTCTGCTCGGCCAAGTTGCCGGCAGGTTCCTCGGGCCTTCACAGGGATGGCTTCTAGTTCCTCATTTGGGTGTTATATTTTTTAATGGAGGGTGTCCTAGTGGGAAGCCAAAAGCGCCGATGTCTTGCAGTGTTTTGTCGCAGGCACCGGTGATGGGTTGGTCTCAGATAGTAGACTCCTAACTCCAAGATGGTGGTGGTTATTATCGGCCTCCCTTTGCAGCCTAACGGGGGCATCGCATAAATCGACGGATGACAATGTAGCAATGTGTTGGGTCATCCATGGTCGCATGGCAGGGATGCTACCTGAAACCCCTTAGAATTTCATGCAGGAACACCAATCATGCCGGCTTACATGACATGTACCATCGTATGTGTGTTGGCAGCCCCAAATTGGCAAGTTCTACCGACCTCACCCATGAAGGTTAATTTCTTGGGTGTTTTCTTTTTGGGGTGTGTGAGTTGTAGTTGCTCAGAGCGTCTTTTTTAGGTATTCAATCAGCACCTTTTCTTCTCTATCAAAGGGTCAAGCGGCTAAGGTAAGGGAGTCAGGTAGGTGGTTCGACTCGTGACCCGACTCGTCCGCGTTTGGCTCACGGATTCATGTGTTCTAAAGAACCGGTGGACGTAAGTCCCGAAACGGGGGCCAATCCAACAGTGGACTCTTCCTGAACCCCCGCCCCAAACCCCAGACTCAGACCCCAGCCCAAATCAGTGAGTCTGAAGTTGGAGGGATGGCATGGAGGAAGCTTACCGCAGACTTGTTTAGCGTTTTTGAAGGAAGCTGGAAGGACACACAGACACCCAGGTACGCCCCTGTTTGGCGCTATGCTGATTACCAGACGCGCGGAAGCATGATAAGCAAGAGGCAGTGGACGGATATTCGCTTTCATTCCTTGCCCCAAAACATCAGAGCAGGGCTTGTGTTGCGTGCGTTTCTTACTTGCTCCAAGTTGGACTTTTGCCACTGCAGTCCAGCTTCTTCTAAACCAAGCCCCAAACCCTTGTTGGCCGCGGGCAATCAGTCGGGAACCCTTTTCGGGTGAGATGCACATGAGCCCGTATTCTTACCCAAAGAAACGAATCAGTCTCCGACGAAGAGCACCAGAAAAGAAGCAGAACCGCCCTAAGAAGCAAGTCTCTACCCTCCCCCAAGATCAAAGAAACAGAACAAAAGCAGAGCCCAGATGATTTTCAGTCGCAAACCCTTCTGATCAAGGTTCCGTCCCGAGCCTTCGCCGCGCCAGCGGCCAATCCGGCGCGCCGCGGAAACCGCTGGCGCGCCATGGAGGCGTCGGACGCCTCCAGCCGGGGCAAGCTGGCGCGGGTCCCGGGAGCATGTCGTCCGAAAACGGCGTTGGGACTGAAGGTGCACTCTGCCAGAAGGAAGCTGAGAGGAGGGTGTTGCCAAGGCAGCCTTCTTGAAAAGATCTGTTGACTTCCGTGATTGGAAGCAGAGAATAGTCAGTGTTAGAATCTTTCTCATTTTGCTTCTTCGCACCGTTTGCTTGCCAAAAGGAAGGGCCTAACCCCGGCTTGCTCTTTGGGAATCGCATCCCTTAGGAACGATCTTGGATTTCTAGGGTCTAAGAGCACGATTTCCTCGTGTTTCTGTTTTGAGCAGACCAGGATTTCATCCATCCCACAGAATCTGCAAGCTTCTGCAGCGGGAGTGGGTCCCTGGTCCTAGTATGTTCGACTTTTATTATTATTATTATCATTATTATTATTATCCTTATTATTATTATTTATTATTATTATTATTATTATAATTATTATTATTATTATTTATATATTATTATTGTATTTATTATTATTATTATTATTATTATTATTATTATTATTATTATTATTATTATTTATTATTATTATTATTATTATTATTATTATTATTATTACTATTATGATTATTATTATTATTATTATTATTATTATTATTATTATTATTATTATTATTATTTATATATTATTTTTTTTATTACTATTATTATTATTATTATTATTATTATTATTATTATTATTTATATATTATTATTGTATTTATTATTATTATTATTGTTATTATTATTATTATTATTTTTATTATTATTATTATTACTATTATTATTATTATTATTATGTATTATTATTATTATTATTATTATTATTATTATTATTATTATTATTATTATTATTATTAGTTATATATTATTATTGTATGTATGTATTATTATTATTATTATTATTATTATTATTATTATTATTATTATTATTATTATTATTATTATTATTATTTATATATTTTGTTTTTCTATTATTATTATTATTATTTATATATTATTATTGTATTTATTATTATTATTATTATTATTATTATTATTATTATTATTATTATTTATATTTTTATTTTATTTATTATTATTATTATTATCATTATTATTATTATTTATATATTATTATCTTATTAATTATCATTTTTTTTTAATAGTTTTATTTTTTATTAGTATCATTTTGTTTTTAAATATATATATATATATATATATCTGCTTTTAATATGTATTTTACTTTTTTTGAGAAGACCATTTTAGTGGCAACCAACAAAAGTTGTCATTAATGGGGGCTGCAATCAACAAAAAGCCGGTGCTTTGCTTGTATACCAAGGGTTGGGAAGCTTTCGCGGCAAGGGTCTGTCGGGAAGGCTTCTCGGGTTTGGAAGCTGGTGGCGTTGTGTCAAGGCCGCCGAATCATATGTCGGCCCCACCCTGTCAAGGACTAAGGTTGACCCTACCGTGATGAGATGGTGGCTTCTTGCCCAAGATCCAGCCATACCTTAAACTCTAGAACTTTTAGACTTTTGGATTTTTAGGACGTATGACATCGCCCAGGTTCTCCCGCCAAAAAGTTCAGCTCAGCCCGTGGTGCCGACGCGACGCGCAGCGCTTCGTGTCGCTCGAGGACTACATCGTGGCGGGCTGCGCCTCCCTGAAGCGCCGCGCCGCCGGGGGAGCGCTGCGGCCCCAGCAGCTGGAGCAGATGCTGCAGGAGGCGCTCCCTTCTTGCGCTTTTGTTTCTTCTTTTCGCGCGGGGGGCGGAGAGGGGGGGGGGATTTTGGGAGGGGGGTCTACTTGGGGGTTTCTCAAAATGGTGCCTTTCGGTTGGCGAAACCAAAAGGAAGCCAATTGTTGTAGAGGACCACGGTTTGGAGAAACACTTGGGCCTGGTTGATCAATAGATTCCTAGACAATCTGCTCAAACGCGCAGTGGCTCGTGAGAACGCTCGTGCAGAACCTCGATTTGACGAGGGGGAACTCGATCGATTTGCATCCATTCGGCCCCAATTCACGCCTCACAACCACTCAGCCAGCACCGCGCGGATGCGCGGGCTGTGTTTTTGTCGCTAAATTGCCAGTGGCTGGGTGTGCTCCTGGCATTCTGATTGCTTTCAACGCAAAGTGTCTGCAGTGCTACTAGGTTGGCCTTCAGTTTGTGCGCCCTCAGCGGCTAACTGGCCTTGTCCGCGTGTTTTCAAGGGGATTTCAATTTTTCTTCCGCTTCCGCCAGACCAAAAAAGGAAAGCGAAGCAATTTTGGGGCAATGTCGAGGTGTGTGTTTTTGTTGAAGGGGTGTACCTTGTTTTCAAGGGGAACCAACACGAAACATTTGCGGGGTCCCGAGGCGCGTCGCCTCACCGCCGACCTGCAGCCGTGGCCGGGTGGCAGTTTTGGCCATGGCGCATGAGGTTGGAACGTCCATGGTCCCTTTGGGTGTTTTTTTTTTTTTGCAGGGTACCCTTCTGCCAGTTGGTTTAAAGGGAACCCGAAGGGCATCATTTTGACTGTGGCTCACATGTGGATGTTGCGCGCATCCACTTTGAAATCAGCCGCTCAAAGCGTTTCGGAGCCCTTCTTCTCCCCGTGTTTAGAGGTTCCGCTTCAGCCACCCCAAATTCCCCACCGTTTTTGGATCCCTACCACCCCAAATTAGGTTGCCCCCTTATCTATCCCTAACTGTTTTCTCTTCAAAATCCTCTGGGCCACTTGGACAGGGCTCCCCGAGTCGCCGAGCGCCGAGGCTTCTGTGCCTCGCGGGGGAGTTTAAGGCCAAGTGGGAGGCCGATGGAGGGGGTTTTGTGTGAGTTCGGTTTTTGCAGCTGCTTGATGGGGGGTTTCACTCAAGTTATCCTAAGCTGGTCAGCAGTGAGCACGGAATGAGGGAATGAACCAACCATCTCTTGTAGTTTCCTTCAAGGGGGGGCCCCAGGTTCATCCCAAGGCCCTTGGAGATTCCCTAACCAGCGAGCAACATAGCAGAA